CCAAATTTTCATTAAATCCTACCCAACGGTTAAAAAGTTAGAGCAATTTCATAGTGTGGCAATTTCATCGTGGACGCCCTTTATGGCCACAAACTGCTATCACGCTACTGCAACATATCTAATCTTTAAAGAATGCTGCGTTATTAAAACTCACTCAAAATCAAACAACAATTTCTTCTGTTATAGGACCACCCCATGCTACCAATCATCAAGTGGGCATGAATCGCAGAATCAGCGTGCGAGACAAGCTGAATGAATGAACATTATAATCTAACTCACCGACTGTCCGCGTGGTGGATGGTGGATCTTCTTGAACACACATGTGAACTCATAAATAGCAAATAACCGAACCAAACCCCATCGAAAAGGAATCCCTAGCAAATCGTATGTATTTATTTCCACATTCGATCGAAATTATGGGCAACATGCTGAACACACACACATCTCGCATTGATGGAAACCGAATTGGAAGAATAGGAATATGAAAGGTAGCACACGATATACCTAAATGATTAAGGCTTTTTTCGCTTCAATAGGTTTTTCGATGAGAAGAAGAAGGTTGATTCGTCGTCGTTCCGCTGTTCAACTAGGAGGATCCAGCCGACTCGAAGACGAATGTTGCGTATGGGTACAGTCGGTGGCGGCAAAGGTGCACAGTTTCAACATTTTCCGAATTGTATGTGGCTCTTTTTCGCTTTCCTTCACCGCAACTCTTGATCGATTCCTATTATCTATTGTTGAACCGACAAAAGAGCGAAATAAAACACAATGCTTTATGCATATCATACACAACGATGACGGTTCCTCCGCTAAGTCCCACCTCCCACCCATCCACGGTATTAATGCTCTTCCTTCTTGTTATGACAGTAAAAGGGTGAAATGAAGAAAAAATACCAATTTACTGATTTTTTTTTAGCAAAATGACTCGCGATGTTATGTTGTTTGGTAAAAGTTGATATTTACAGTTATAGAGCTTTTTTTTCTGTGTGCACAGAGTGGTTGTGAACTTCATTAAATGTCGATTAGGAGGGCTTTGCTGTTGACGCGTAAAACCGACCATTCATGCGAGGATGATTGTCAATGAATATAGGTATTCATCAGGTTGGTCAAAATTTTCATAAACGCGGCCGCTATCGTGCGTTCTTTTTTGCTCATATGTTTGTTTAACACCTCTTTCTTCGGTCTAATTCCCTTTGACTTTTGCCGAAGCGCTTTTTTTAATGATTTCCTAATAGAACAAAACAAAAAGTGCCGGCTGCGCCTTTCTTTTATGAAGCCAGGATGATGATGCTGTTGTTGCTGCCTGTCGATACTACTATGATGAGCCGATCGGGTTGACCCAATGGGTTCGCTGGGCGGTCATCACAATTATTATTAAAATATTGTTTCGGAAAAGGCGAAGCCAACCGGAGAGATAAAGCAACGGGAAAAATCTAGTCGTATTTCTACGAGATCCATCACCAGTCCTCCTCTCGTCGTCGTCGTCGTCGTCGTGGTCGTCGTCGACAGTCTAGCTAATTTCCTATTTTATCTCTTTGATCTGTTCGCCGTTTTTTCTCATCGCATGGCGGCACCCAGCAGCTTGAATTAAGCGTGAGCAGAACGAATTTGTAACCGAAATCACTGGCTGGCGCCTGCTTAAAATTACGAAAATGATTATTCTGTTATTTATAGACAGCACCAGCAACGAAACAGTCATCACATGGGACTCACACTGGTACTACTACTGGAATAAAACAAAGGGAAAGCAAGTATCAGTCACTAACTATGGCTCGACCAACAAGTAGCTTTTTGCTCCAGATCGAAGGCGATCGAATTGTCTAGCTTCGGAACGATCCCATCATGGCCATGAATGGCCATAGATTATTGTTTTAGCTTTGGATAATTTTCGGTGTCTGTTTTAGCGACGAGCACGGGATCATTCAAGGGAGTAGAATGGAGCGAGGGCGGTGTGTTGTGAGTGTTTAATTTAACACGAAAGACATGCTAAAAAACGAAATAGGGTTAGATCTAATGATTTCTAATGATCTTTCATCTCATCGATATTTGGGCAATTCTGTTCACCGTGAACTGTTGTAAAATTGTGCTTTGGCTTTATATTACGACACATTTTCCAGCAATCGCTTCTGTAGACCCACATTTAAATAGGATATTTTCTAATGAGTAGAGGTATAATTGCATGCTTTAAGCAAATTGGCCTATAATCATATTTTGTAAATTCATACACCAAAAATGTGCCGTAAGGTTGGTTCATTACAACCCCCTGCTCCCCACTACTCTTTTGATTTGTATTGGCGTTTCCAACTTATTCTTTTTCTTCTTTGGTTATATTACGTCCCCACTGGGACTTTTCCACGGCTGTGGGGTCGGATTAAAATTGAACGACTCCAACTTCCATTCCAACTCAAAATTCTAAGTGCTCTGATTTGAAAACCACTGACTCCTACTCCGACTCTGACTCCGACTCCTCGACTCCGATTCCGAGTTTAACAACATATATTCATTAACATTTTATTGCAATAAATTCCAGTTGTTTATGAATTTAAGGCAACATCAGGAAATAAGTGTAAAGTACTTTTATGCTTAATAATTTTCATGGGGAATGAACTGGAAATTTATTGATTGATTTTGGAGATATTTTAGATATTTCAAAAGATATGCACTGAAGAGTGAAGTTATTCACATGCAACTTAGTAATGTTTTTAAAATTAAGCCTAGTAATTTATGGTTTTTATGTAAAACGATTGGAAAAGATTCATGTTTGGTAATATAATGAGAAGGTATTTGCTGGATGAAAATACTAAGTTTAAACATTCCAACATTATTTAGCGTATTCTGAAGACATTTCAGCAATAAAACTTAATTGCCAATGCAGTTTGAACCGTTTTTACTATAATGCAGGGTGGCCACATTTTTTTTTCACTATCGGTAGCTTCTCAAAACTTTTATCGGTAGGCCGTCTTAAAAAGGCTCAAACCTTTGTGAGCGGGGGAAGGATAAAAACAAATCCAGCCCAATATTAGATAGTCTAATCTAGAGTCGGTGTATAATGAGTCACGCCAAGAGTGAAGCCAAGTCTACCTATTGAACTGTCAAACCGGCTACCTATCGTGCAAAGTAAACAAACATTACGATGCTATGTATGGTCCACGAAACACAGCAAAAAATAATTGTGATATCACATCAAAGTGGATGTACTTCAATCGTGTCAAAAATATGGTGTAAAAGGATAAAATTATCACTAGTACACTGCATGAACTGGCATTACGCTGCTTTTAAAGCATTTGTTAATTGTTGTGGCCATATAAATTACATGAGATTATCGACATGATTTAAGTGCATTCTCTTGCATTTAACATTAAAATTTATTGTTTGCTGTAAAGGTATGCAATAAAATATAAAATATAATCGAAAAAATAATCATAAACACGCAGTGAGCATTAAATTGTCATGGGATACGTTTGGTAATGATCAGTAATGAGAATATCTACTATTTTTGTTAAGATAATTTGACAAAATCCAAGGGGTAGGTCACTCAGCACATTGTGCCGAAATTAGATTCGGCACAGCTTGGGCACATCCATGGGCACATTTTTGGCACAATCTCGTAGACATGGGATTGTTGTAAATAAAATGGGAGCACTGCTGGACAACTGTTATTGAAGTTGTCCACAACATTACGTGCTGTTTGACTGTATATTCAGGAACATCTTCTAATTGAATATTAGAAGCATTTCACTTATAGATCTAAATACGAAATGTTGGTTCTAGAATGAGCTCAAGAATAAGAGGCAGTTAATCAGACCCAATTAGTACCTTTAATTCAAATAATGCTGCCACTCACACAAAACCAGCTACATCAGTCTATTCATCATCCTCTATAGTCGGTTCCCAACAACATTCCGCACTTGTTCAAGCCGCTGATAGACCGTTGTTTTTCACATCACGAAAGTCTAGGTTTCTGGTCTACCTTTGAGGACAATATAATACCCTAAAACAAGGACTTTTATTATCCTATGAACACAAAACAAAAACAAATACGCACACCCGCCGCTTCCCGCGTCATCCTCAAGGCCAACGCACATTAGATCCGGATCTGACGCGTTGCGACAAAGTGACAACTAAATCTATTGTCTAACTGTCAAATTTACGTCAACGCAACGCAAACGGATCTTATCCGATTTATCCTTGCGACTTCAAACCAAAACATTCCATGTGTCATACGGCAAAAAAGATGCCCCAAGATTGGTGTGTCACTTCGACTTATCTCTTGACAAAATCACTGATATAATGATTTACTACAGCCACTATCAGTGTTCACTCGGCTGTCGACAAAAGCAGACCACTCTCGATGTGTGCTACGCGATCGTCTGTTTTCTCGGCAGCAACCATTGTGTGGTCCTCCTCATTGTTCTTCATCAGCAGTTCTTTCGGTCGATGCGTCGTCGACTTTGGAAAGCAACCGTTTCGTGATGAGTGTGTGAGTGCTGACCACGTTTTGTGTCCATTGCTGCAATGGACGCGCTCTGACCCTCGTTGGCGTACAACAATTTGCCATACAATGAAACTACTGGAAGCGGCTCCAGTTCTGATGGAGGAGGCTTTTTGGATAGCGGAAGATAAAGTGTTTATTGTGTTGTATCTTTTGACTATATTTTTAAGATGTATTGTATAGTGACCAAGAATCCTCGGCTCTGTAAAGTTAATTCGGTTGAGCCTTACCAAATAAATTAATAAACAAAAAAAAAAAAAAAAAATACAGCCACTATGTTTTTTCGCTAGAAGTCATTTGCAGTTGATGTGGAAGTCTTCTGTTGCCAAGTGAAAAGAAAGGGAATCTTTCGAAAACCGCGAGTTCAACTTTTTTTTTCTCTTGCCGTGAGGAGGGAGGGGGGTCAAGAATCCCAAAATAACTGTCTACGTAGTTAATGAACAGCTCCTTAACTCCGACTCCACGACTCCGATTCCACGACTCCGACTCCACAACTCCGATTTCACAGCTCTGATTCCATGACTTCGACTCCACGACTTCGACTCCACGACTTCGACTCCACGACTTCGACTCCACGACTTCGACTCCACGACTTCGACTCGACGACTTCGACTCGACGACTTCGACTCCACGACTTCGACTCCACGACTTCGACTCCACGACTTCGACTCCACGACTTCGACTCCGACTCCAACTCCACGACTCCATCTCCACGACTCCGACTCCGACTCCAACTCCACGACTCCATCTCCACGACTCCGACTCCACGACTCCGCATCGACGACTCCGCTTCGACGACTCCGATTCCACGACATCAACTCCACGACTTCGACACCACGACTTCGACTCCACGACTTCGACTCCACGACTTCGACTTCACGACTTCGACTCCACGACTTCGACTCCACGACTCCGACTCCACGACTCCGACTCCACGACTTCGAATCCACGACTCCGACTCCACGACACCGAATCCACGACTCCGACTCCACGACTTCGAATCCACGACTCCGACTCCACGACACCGAATCCACGATGAGTGTGTGAGTGCTGACCACGTTTTGTGTCCATTGCTGCAATGGACGCGCTCTGACCCTCGTTGGCGTACAACAATTTGCCATACAATGAAACTACTGGAAGCGGCTCCAGTTCTGATGGAGGAGGCTTTTTGGATAGCGGAAGATAAAGTGTTTATTGTGTTGTATCTTTTGACTATATTTTTAAGATGTATTGTATAGTGACCAAGAATCCTCGGCTCTGTAAAGTTAATTCGGTTGAGCCTTACCAAATAAATTAATAAACAAAAAAAAAAAAAAAATACAGCCACTATGTTTTTTCGCTAGAAGTCATTTGCAGTTGATGTGGAAGTCTTCTGTTGCCAAGTGAAAAGAAAGGGAATCTTTCGAAAACCGCGAGTTCAACTTTTTTTTTTCTCTTGGCGTGAGGAGGGAGGGGGGTCAAGAATCCCAAAATAACTGTCTACGTAGTTAATGAACAGCTCCTTAACTCCGACTCCACGACTCCGATTCCACGACTCCAACTCCACGACTCCGACTCCACGACTCTGACTCCACGACTTCGACTCCACGACTTAGACTCCACAACTCCGACTCCACAACTACGACTCCACCAATCCGACTCTACAACTCCGACTCCACAAATCCGACTCTACAACTCTGACTCCACGACGCCACGACTCCATCTCCACGACTCTGACTCCGACTCCAACTCCACGACTCCATCTCCACGACTCCGACTCCGACTCCAACTCCACGACTCCATCTCCACGACTCCATCTCCACGACACCGAATCCACGACTCCAACTCCACGACTCCGACTCTACGACTCCAACTCCACGACTCCGATTCCACAACTCCGACTCCACTTGACGCCGTCCCTCAACTAAGTGCTCTTTGCATTTCCACAGTAGTTAATTGAGAACTTTCTAAGCCTGTGCATTTTTTTTTTTCGTATATGTACGTTTACTAACGTATTCAACAGCTGTGTCAATTTTGAACAATAATTTGTATGGTCAAATGTACGAAAAATGGAACGAAACTAAAGTCTGTTCCAGTTAGTATTTGGCCGCTTCTTTTTAATTACTGTAGCGCCTCTAGTTGTCGTCGCAAGAAACTATTGACAGCGTTTTGATCCGAATGGATTGCAGTAGTAGTGAAAATTTCATCACGATTCATATACTTGTACAAAAGTTATCGAAGATGGAAAGTGACAGATGTGAAAAAAATCTGCACACTCACGTGCAAAATCCAACGTGGTCAGGAGGAATGATTGCAAAGGCTCTAAAATTTCCAAAATCGACTGTAAAGGCCCACGCACATTAGATCCGGATCGGACGCGTTGCGGCAAAGTGACAGCTAAATCTATTGTCTAACTGTCAAATTTAAGTCAACGCAACGCAAACGGATCTAATGTTAGTGGCCCTTAAGTGCCGTGCTTAAACGTTACCGGGAAACACCAACGTTGGATCGTGCAAAACAAAACAAACGTAGATCATAGATGGGATCTCGCGGCACACTGTACAGTTCGGCGAGTCTGTATGCGAGAAGGTTTCCGGTCATACCATGCCAGCAAACATCCCAACAGGACGCTGAAACAAAACCTGATTGCCAAACACCGTGCAAGGAAGCTGTACGAGCAAGTTCTGACCAAGTATAACGGATGTAATTTGATAGACGATGAAACTTACGTAAAAATGGACATTGGATAAATCCCGGGCAAAATTTTTAACTTTGCTAAACGTAAGGGGGATGCTCCGGCTAAATTCAATTCACTGGATCGACTATGAATTCAAGGAGGAGTGTCTACAGAACATAATCTTGTCGTTCATTCAATCACACGAAGGTCCCGTAAAGTTCTGGCCTGGCTTCGCCAGCTGCCATTACAGCCGCGATGTCATAGAATGGTTTACGCAGAATAATGTCGATTTTATTGAGAAAATTATCAATCCACCAAATTGTCCAGATTTTCGTCCCATTGAAAAAAAATTGTGCAATTATCAAGCGAAGAAATGTGGCGAAACAATCAAACACCATCTGATTTGGAGAAGTGATGGAAAAGGATGGTAGATGAGGTTGACAGTACTATTGTGCAAGACATGATGAGAGGTATTCCGTTAAAATTTTGCACAAATGCACAAATAATAATATGTGCGTTTCTATGTGCGGTAATAAGGGGTAAGATGATTCATAGAACACCGGGCCTGTTTAAATCTCAGATTTAGACACGATGCTTCAGAATTCAACAAATAAATGAAAGCATTTTGTCTAAAAAGTGGACCATTTCCTCTGACTGTCAGCACTAACTCAGTCAACATTTTGGTCCGTATACAAACCAAACAAGTCGTATAAGATGCACAGATTTGCTATATCCGAATCACAGTGGAGGTCACATGCCATTCTGGATTTCCAATAACGATTTTCACGATTTAAATCTATCAGAAATACGGTACTATTGGATGAAAAACATAAAAAGCATTTTTTGAAACCAGACTCGATACCCCACTTTCGAGTCCAGGAACTAGCGCTGACTCCTATTCAAGACATGAGCACATATGAGTAAGGTGGATTTTGTCAGCGACAAATTGTGCGCTTTAGAAAAGCTTATTTTGACTTGGATGGATTTCGATGTTCATGAAAAGTGTCAGATTGTGTTAACGAATGTGTATCAAAGTTTGATAAGTTTTTATGATTATGCAGTTCGTATTAATTTGAAAATTCTTAGTTAATTAATTTATTAATTTTAAGGTGTTTCTTTGCAGAATCCTTTTCCTAATCACAAAATTGTTTACAAATCTGAAATGTCAGACAATGATTGTTTCTCCGCAACAAACAACAAGTAGTAGTTTTAGCACCTTAATATTTTGACTTTTGCAATTGCTAAGTACAATGCTAAAAAGGGCTCTACAAGGAATTGCTCTAAATTTTTTTTCGAGATTTCACCCTTTAATGAATAATCTTTATTTTCTGGCTTAGACTTTTTTTTTCAGAATTACATAAATGTTTTTACTTCTTAAAGTATGTTCCCTTGTTACTGAATAAGGAGGAAGGGGCTAAATTTAATTTTCATAATTATGGAAATCTATTCTACTGAAAAAAGAGGAGGAAGCTATTCGGACCCTCCTGTCCCTGGCAACGACCATGTTCGTGATGACATTAGTTCATTCTAAATCAATATCAATTGCATCTGTAAATAACAAAAAATCTCGTTTTTATTCGATGATGGTTTAAAATACAAAAATAAGGTTCAGTTCCAACACCAAAATGGAATCATCGATTTTAAAGAAGTCACCATGAATCAAGCATCATGAACCAGCGAGCATCATGTCACTATTTGTTTAATAATAACATCCATCGGTGATTTGCATTCTCTGGCAGCAGCCACTCGTCCAGATTGCATCAAATTAATTATGATGATCAAACGCACATTATGCGAATGACTCCGGAACCGCGGTCGGAGCCTTTTTCCGCCACTGCTCAATCAAATTAACAAATGCTTTTAAGTCATTAATTTATTTAAATTTATTTATTTATTTCCCTGTAACGATGTGTAAATTGAGTTTATATTGGCATACGGCCGCGCAAAACATAACATTACCAAACATACACCCGATCGGCCGGCTTGGCATGGCCCGTTTTCCCGGTCAGTCAGTTTGTAGAAGGGGCGAGACCCAAAGCGCGGCAGCAATAAACGACAACGTTGATGAGCTTGTTCTGTTTGGACTCCTACAATTCATCACCACTTCCGCGCTTACTCCACCCACCGATTATGGGTACGAGTGACTACATGACACTGACTGCTCAATTAGAGAGTTTTTCGATCTTCTCTAAATAAACAATCATCACATAAATATCCATTTCATTATGATTGCTATGGCAATCAACGCCCGTCCGAGAGGGACTCTCCTCTTTTTCGCCGGCTGCAATCCGGGCCAAACGGCGCCAGCGGGAAATTGGCGAGGGTGGGTGGTTGGCGGGTTTTGGTAATAGCGCCACACCACCACTGCAATGACTGGACTCTGGTTGACTAACTGACTGACTGACTGGTGCTGACTGACCATCCTCCGGCGAGGCCCACGTGCTGATGCGAAATACTTCATAAATTCCGTACCGTGATGATGTCCGTCCTGTCGAGCATCAAAGTATGAATGTGAAAATAGTATGCGGTCAGTCCCGGTGCATAACATCAGGGCGTGAATCCGTCCAGCCACCCACGCCTCCCCGGAACTCCAGCCAAAGCTAATATCCATAAACTGTCCCTCTTTATTTATTTACCTTTGGATCGTTGTTGTTGTGGCCCGGAGTAGTAGTCGGTGGGCTTTTTCGGTTGTTTTTGTATGAATGATGTGGCAGCACACAGAACTCGTTATATTTACATTGCCGCACGAGAGACAATGAATGGAAAAGTCATGTGTGTGTGTGTGTGTGTTTTTGTTGTTTGGGAAAATACACACTTTTATCACGTGGACCGAAACATGATATCAGGGTGCATTAACTAGATTTAGTTTCTGTAAATGCATTTCGATTCTGATTTCACTCCTATTGTCTCGAGCTGGCCCGACCCGATATCGTTCTATTGTATGTTAGATGGTGTTGCTGGTGCGGAAGACGGGGATATAAAAATACATACAGCCATCCATCAGTTAGGCACGGGCTGGGCTGTGGGCTGAATTTATAGGAATGTTGGTGTCTTTATTTAACCTGTCTTGTTTGAAGGCCATCATCTGATAATGGAAATCATGTATACATTTCCTATATTGAAATCATAGCGCTTCTTAAGTTGACCCTGTGTATTCGATACTGTATCTGGAGTCGACCTTTAAGACATTCAAAGTTGAACTCTGTGGGACATAAACGTCAATAACGTCAGTGTTAACGTCTGCAATGGTGAATTTTATGGGGAAGTTTACCGCCCCGAAAATGAATTTTGTTTTCGGAACGTTTAAATTTTTCTAAAAACTTTGGGAGAATTTATCAAAAATCCAAGAAAATCTGTTACCGTTGGAACATCATATCCCTTGTTTGTCAGTCAAAAAGTAGTTCAATTGTAAAATTTTTATCGTTCTAAGTGTTTATTGTTTATTTATTTACATTTTTAATATACCTATTATATACAACTATATTAAATAATTCATAAATTAAAGCCTAACTAGGATTAAATTAATTGCATGCACACTCAAGAAACAAATTTAAATTGATAACCTGAGAACACAATTTGTTACACTACGCTACACGAAAACCTATACCCTTCGGAAGAGCTGCTGCAGTGCTAAATGTATTATCACAGAGGAGATAAAGGACTACGATGAAAAATGGTATATCAGAAAGGAAGAGGCTACTGGTGGTCCGATTAGTGATGGAATGTTCTTTTCCACGTAACACCTCAAGTGAGAAACATCTCGCAACTACAAACAAATTTCATTACACAAGTTGTGCTCAGTGAAGTGGAAAAGTGACTATAATCTCAATTTATATTACTAAATTGGAGAAAGTCGAAACAGGTAGGCATAATCACCCATAAAACGATTATGGACCCCGGAACCAAAACCAGCAGTGCTCTATGGTAATATCTGCCCCCTTTGATATTTCCCTCACCCAACCAAAAATTATGGACCCATTGTATTCCGGTTGAAGCCGATCCTTTACCGGTTAGCTAAGGCAGCTGACCTGGAATAAAAGTCCCGTGCGAGGTGCGTAACCAAACCCCAACGTCGACCAGCCAAATGTCCATTGTGATCGCAGGTTCACGAAAAGACCCACAGTCCACGTGGCCTCCGTCCGCAGAGGTCAAGCTAGGGGTACCGAGGCCATTGTATCCAGCCAGCAGATCAACGAACGCAGCCGATCAGGTGCTTTTCGGTCCGCATGACCAACCACCGATCGCGAATCT